CTAAGAACATTACTAGTCCAATGGTATAAACATAAACATTTATAAGGCAATTTGATACCATTTCAACTTAGCAAAATAACAGTAGTAGATTTTCTCCTGTGGCCTATAGAACATAGGAGCTCTTTCCATCCTCTGGCTCTTGACATATACAGTAACAGGCATGAATCCTTTCCTGTGAAGTAGACATCTAATTCAATCATGAGGTGGTTACCGCTATACTAGTTATGCCACTATTTTACCAGGCTTATTTCACTAAGTATGATGTTCTCATGGTTCACTTTTATTGAATGTGGCAAGGTTGTCTCCTTTTCAAAGGTGAATAAAATTCAATTACATGTACATATCATGATTTTATACATCCATTTGCTTATAGGCATGAAAGTTATTACAGCATTTCATCCATTTGAAATAATGCTTCAATTAACATAGGAATGGGAACTACAAAACAATTGAGCTTCAGAGAAGTGCTACTTTATATCTCTCTCCATCTGAAAACATAAAACCTAGATGCTACCAGGATCTCTAGAACATCCTTACTATTTTCCACATCAAGGTGAAAGATGGAAGATAAGACAACAAGTATTCTTCATTCTAGTGTTACAGGAATCAAGTATTACTATGGTCAGTTATCTGACATCTCCAGAATGAGATAGCCAGTGACGACCACAATTATTCAACTTTGCTCTGTAAGTTTTGAATGTCAGAGGAAAACTAGAATGGCTCCTCCTTAGATTTCAGAGATGTAAAAATTGGATTGGGCAAGGGATATTGAAAACTATTGGAAAGTACATAGAGCCAGTCACACTGGAGAAACTGGAGGGATGATGGTGATGATGATGAGTGAGAACAGAGATGCCTAGAGTTGTGGTAGAGAGAATGAAGAGTATGGTAGAGTTCGTGAAGGTGTGGAATAGAAGCGTACTCCAAAAGTTTATTCACTAAAATCTTCATTGTTCAATAAATCTTTATATAGTTACACTTGCTTTTTTGGAAGTAGCAAAAAAAAAAAAGTGCCTGGATAGAAAGAAAACATTCCCATAATATCAATGTTCAACCTTGTGCTTCCACAGGACTCTCTGTAGTTCAGCACAGGTTAGCCCGGCATTCCTGTATCTCTGCATCTTCAGTTTAGGCTGCTGAACAGGTAAATTTGTGCAATGCCGTAAAAGCAGGAGGTCCTTAAAAATTTGCATCTCCCTTTCTCTCCACCTCCCCAGGAGCATAAATGATTTCAAGATCAACTAAGAGCTTTGGGCAAAATTCAACTGGTTTTGTTTGTTCCTTTCTGATTTAGTTTGACTGTCCTGATTGGGATTACAGCCAATATGAAAGAAACACACAACTAAATAGGAAAACAAGAGAACAAAATAACAACACCATGTTCCTCTAAGAACCTGTCTAGTCCTGATAAAGCTGCAGAGATAAGGGAAAATCATACTTAAGTAATAAGAAGGTTTTGTTCATGTTGGCCAGTTCTCTGAGCATGGATGCTTTAGATGCAGGGATAAGACCCCCAGCTCTGAGCTCAGAGTTATGCTCCACCACACTCTGTGGGGAGACAGGCAGCTAAGAATGCAAGGAGAGTGCATTCCAAATGATACATGTCGAATTGCTGGCCAGGCTTTTAAATGCCATAGATAGTTTATGCAAAGTCTCACACTGTTCTAAGTCACAGCACAGCTTACCGGCTGTTCTGCCTAAGCCTAGTCCCAGTTGTTTTTTGAGAAAAATAAATAAGCTGAAAAGTGTCTACTAGACTGTGAAAGTGGCTATGTTTTAACCTTAGCATCTGTGTCTAATTCTGGATAATGGGGTAGGTGATTCTTGGCACCTTTGTACTTTCTAAAAATCCCCTGTGATATTTAACCATTATTGCATTCCCAGATCTCAATGATTCTCAGATCCAGTGAGGAAGATTGGCAATGAATGGTTTTTAATACTTTTTTGATATTTATAAAACAATTAAATCATTTTCTTATGTGAAATATTATAAGGTAGTAGAAGACAAATGGTTCACTTAGTTGATATTAAGTTGACACCAGGGCCAACAACAAGGTATTGAGAATCATGGGAAGACATCTTTGTGTCTATGGCTAATCCAACATTTAAATGCACAAGAACCAGTGAAGTCCTTAGAGGCAGGACCTGTTTCTAATTCTCCCTCTGTTTTTGAGTGCAAGATGTGTTTTGTCTGAACACTGGTTAGTATATCACTTCTGTAAATGAAACAGAGACTTGAAATTTTTTAATTATTTTCTTTTATTTACTTATTTTCTCTCTTAATTATTTTATACATGTATATAATGTATTCTGTTTACTCTTAACCCTGACTCTCTTATCTCCCTCATGCTACCTCCAACCATCCCTCCTTCCTATATACTTTTTTTCTCATATTCATGTCTTTGGTTTTGTGATCCTGAATTTAACCAGGGCTGAATCTATGAATACATCTACGATGTATTTGAAGTATCCATGGGTACCTGTGTGGCTATGTAAACTGAATGCTAGGGGCATCCTTCTCTCAGAACTTACCAGTGACCAATATGTTATCAAAGAGCAGTAGGCACAAATGAGTTTCTCCTCGATCCATAATGGACTGTTGACAGACCTAGTCATGTGTACATCCAGTGCAGGTATCTAAAACTGCTGAGAATTAATAATTGATGTTGGCAGTTTGAAACTACTCTCTCTGTCTTGGGCTCTCATATTTTTTTCTACCCCCACTTCTGTATGGTCCCTGTGCCTTAAGAGTTGTGTGGTATAAATGTCTTCTTTAGAGATGAGGAATCAAACAAAAACTTGACATTTTCTGAGACCCTCTAGAAGTTAGGACTATCCCAAGATATGATGGGGAGAGGGACACTTGAAATTGAGCATTTATATAGGTGGTATTCTTGACATAGTAAACGGAGGCTTTGGTGATGCTCAGGTAAAGAAGGGTTAGATTTTTCAGAAGAATCTGACTTAGTTCAGTTCACTGGAGCCACTGTCCTAGAGCACAGTGTTAAAGGGAGTTAATACCAATAGTTTTACATCTATTTTCCATGGCATTATAAGCTAATGTTTGGGGTATTTTATTCCTTGGGTTTGAAAATAAAATAATGAAAATCTATGCTGTGTAATCCAGGATGGCTTTGCACCCTTTGCCTCACCTGGTTCTACTTCAGTTTTCTAACTAGCTATGATTACAAGAACATACTTCTAGGTAAGGACTGGAGAGCTTTATTTTCTTCTTAATTCATAACCTAAATGACATAATATAAACCAAAGCAGTGATACTTGTCAAGTATATGCATCACATAAAAGGTGTGTGTACTACCTGAATTGATAATTGTATGCACCTCTCTTGTCTTGCTTGCTTCTTTCCTTGTTCTGTAAAGTAACCCATTGCCGATAAGAAAATGTGAAAACACATTTCCTCCATTTCCTTGATACCACTGCAGCTGCTGCCTTTGAATTCAGTGCATGCTTTCTCTTGATATGTACAATCCATACTAACCTCTGACCATTTACAAAGCTTTTAATGTGTGGTTTTAACAAATATGTTACAATGAGCTTAGACATATATGTCATTTCTCTTTCACACTGATTGTTGCCATTGGTCCATGTTGATGTCTTCTAACTCAACACTAATTTTCATTTTGATTGATCTTGGCTCACATAAATCTAGTTAATTCATTTTAATAGTCTTTTGCTCTGTACAGTTCAACCATGTGAATATTTCCTACTTTTGCACCCTGTCCCCAAGAGATGAACACAAAGACTATTTCCAGTTTTGTGGTACCAGATACATATATACACATATATGTACATATATTAAAGAAGTGGACATATTTGATTGTTGAGAATAATTCATTTTGCTCTTTGTTTTATTTGTTTATTCTTTCTGTGTGTGTGGGGGGTTAGTTTGATTGACACTAGATTGTCTTGCTGTTCATTCTCACAGCTTTTAAGATCTCCTGAATTTTCTAGGTCAGCTTTACTTCACAAATAATTAGACTATGACCTGGAGGTGTAAAATAGCAGGCTCAAGCTCACAGGGAAGTTTTGTGAGAGGAGTCACATTGCAGATCAGAGGGAAAGTGTTAATTCAGGATAATCTTCTGCCAAACATCTGGTCAATCTCAACAGCTCTATGGTTCATCCCTTTCCCCACAGTGAATTTTGGCCAGTTGACAGTTACATACATGTGAGAGATTACTTGGTTGATATTTGCTTATCATGTCTGCTCTTCACCTTAGTTTTATGTGGATTTTATTCTCTAGTGCTTGATATGTAGTTTTCCAGATGACTCAGTAAGTGGAATGATATTTGGATACATAAGACACTTCACTAATTAAAAAAATCTGCTCATGTATACATTCTTGTACAATTGTAACACTTTAGTATTAACATCATTGGGAGAAAGAAGGCAGTGGAGTGTGGGGAAGAGAAGAAGAAGAGGAAGGAGGGAGAGGGAGAGGAAGGGTTTGGTCAACTGTTTTTTCTTGATAGCAAAGAAACCAGAGTTTACATTCTCAATACTTTCCTGTCATTGTGGATCTCTGAGCACAATTTTTAGAGTCACTTACAATGCTCCACATGACTTTGAGCATTCAGTAAGAGGAATCTCACAGTTTTCCTTTTTGCAGCTTTCCTTGAGCCTTCTGATTGCTAGGTAATTTATAACAACTCATGTCTATGTTTTCTTTTGAGCCTTCCCTTATATTTCTTCTGCCTACAATGCCTTCCACAACAAGATTCAATGTCAGCTCCTTTAGAATTTGTTCCCATGAGAATGTCCCTATCACTTGGCCACTGAAATATGTCATGTGTTCTCTCTCTTTGCAGCATTGGGGATTATTTCAACAATAGAGTATGAGTTTCTGGAGCAGATTCAATCTATTCACTCCTGCTTTCTCTTCCACTACCAACTGAGTACATGGATGGTAAAGGTTCCTTAACTTTAACTGAATTCTCAGCACCCTTGCAACATTATCTTTTCCTCCATCTTTTGCCAGGTGTGTCGAACCAAGGTGATAGATCTCAGTGAAGGCATTTCCCAGCATGCTTGGTATCCTTGCACCATTAATTACCCATACTACCAGCTGCCTCAGACCACATTCTGGCTCCAGGTAAGCCCTGATCTTGAGAGGTATGGTGTATAATAGGTCTTGCCTCCAAGAAGTACTGACCACTGTGATGACTTTTTTTCCCCTTGAGATGCTCTTTTCACTCTTCAAGACTGTCAATTTGTAAAGACAGGAATCCAAAACTTATTCATGGAATGCTTCCTACAACCAAATCCCATAATTGTTCACAGAATGCCCCATTCAATTCTTATATTGCAAAGAATTTGAAATCTTCCTATTATTTATTATTCAAAGCTTTAAAAAAATCATCTTTTCACCCATAGAGTCTATACTCACTCACAGAAAGAAGTGAACATTTGACTCTTTGTAGCTCAGTGTATGCTTGGTCACTTGCTGAACAGCAACCTTCACATGATATTTCACAACTTTGTGTGGCTTCATCTTCTTGGCTACAGACTGCGAATTGTGTTTGCTTTTTATTTATGTATCACTGACATGCTTTAAACCCCATGGTTCAGAGAATTTCCATGACCATGCCTTATTTGGCTTTATCATGTTGGGACCTGGTAGACAAAATAGTGGGGATAAGTGATGGCTAATAAACCTGCAATGTGTTTGGTGTCCATGTGTTATTTCACTATGTACTATCCTTGTGCTAGACACTATATTCCCTTTGTCTTAATAGAATTTCACAGTGACCCTATGAGCCACTTTCTTTAATCAACTATTTAAAAATGAAGAAAATCAGGCTCAGAATGTTCCAGGCATCTACCAGCATCATACAAAAAAAAAAAAAAAAAAGCAGAGCTAAGTCTGGATCAAGGTTTCTGGCCTGGGCTCCTCTATCTTCTCCCTTCCCAGTGAATGAATGGGTTGAAACAAAGCAAAATTCCTCTTTGCTCCACACTAATCTGATTGTTTGTCTGTCATGTGGTGAGTAAATTAATGACTATTCATGTCTTCATGTCTTCTCTATTTCAGACGTATTTCTCTCAGCCAATGGTTGCTGCAGCTGTTATTATTCACCTGGTGACTGATGGGACATACTATGGGGACCAAAAGCAAGAGACCATCAGTGTGCAGTTGCTTGATACCAAAGATCAAAGCCATGATCTAGGCAAGCATGCTATACTGGGATTGATTCACCCTTGGGTCCTTCTTTTCACATGTGGTTGCCTCTCCCACCCTCCTTTTAAGAAAGATCTTCTCCTTCCCTTTCCTCTCTCTAGCCTCTTTTCTGTTTACAGTTCTGGTTGCTTTAATCAACAGTTCTTGGTATATCCAGAGAAACACAAATTTGGCAAACACGAAGATAAGGGTTCAGTGGCAAAACTTGAATTTCACTGGCTTGCTTTGTTACATACGTTTAAACTTAGGTATCCATAGGATCCTCAAAGGACTCTGGGAAGGAGACTGAGCAAGCCCATTTCCCCACTATATGTCATTATCTAAAACCCATTGTAAGGCACTGGGAGACCACAGGACACATAGCAAACCAGGACTGAGAGAAGCCAGGTTTTAGAACCCTATCTTGTTCTACCATATGTCTCTGAAAATGTCAATAATGGTTGTGTATTTGGCATATTTTCCAGGTGATACACATGTGGAAACAGATATTAGAAAGCTTTCAATTAGCTTTGGGGTTTGAAAAGTAAGTGAGAAGTCAGGTTCTGCCTACTGGGGAGCAAGGGCATGTGGGGTATTCACTTGTCCTGTGGGAGTTGCTGCAAACATCTGGGCAGACAGAGTAACAACATATACAGTCTGGAAGGAAATCCAGTTCAACATGACTCAGTACACAGTGTTGGTTCGATCTTCTAGCATCTAAAACTAAGCACTTTATTTAGGCACACTTTAGTAGCATACAATTTGGATAAAAAGGTTTCTAGTTGTAACACAATCCCTTCTCCACAATTGCATGGAATCCCTTCTCAAAGGAGTGTTACTTCTTCCATGAAAATAGGTTCTGGAGATGGGCTGCATGTATTATCTTGTGGGTCTAGCAGAGGACATGATATAGCCTCAGTCATACAGATAGCATAGTAGTCATTTAGGTTATTAGCCACCTCTGGTCCTGGTTGTGGGAGCTTTGGGGAGCCAGGTATAAGCTGGCCCCACAGATGGCACAAGGATTACCTAGGCTATTTTCAACCTTCATTCCCAGCCTTCTGGATGTAGAACAGGTTGTATCTCTTTTCTTTTGAATAGACAAGACTGCATGTTTAACATTTCTGCTTTTTCTGGTGATATCTGTTAGGTCAAAGACCTTTGTGTTCCCAATACTGAGCATATTCATTTTTGTCTTGATATCAGTAGAGGAATGACTCTAAAATTAAGACTCAGGGTTTGATTCCTGTAGTTATTGTTAACTCACTTTGAAAACGTGAACAACATCACAGCACCCGACTCAAAGCCTGGTACTCTTGGATTGCATTGAGAGATATACCATATGGTTAGAGGGTCATTGCCTGTCATTACTGTGACTACTTCTAGTATAAAACTTGGCACTCACCATGTCCTTTTCCCATTAAGGATATTATTACACATTGCTATAGACACCTAACCTGGAGAACTTTGGGTCATTTGTTGCAAGTGTTTGGAATTCTGGGTGAGGCCTGGAGCTGGCACTTCAAAGCTGTGTGCACATCATTGTGTAGGAGAACCCATTTCAAAACTCTGAAGAAGTAAGCCAAGGGTCACTTCAGGGTCAAACGAAAGCCAAGGAAGCAAGAAGAACTTTGTTGTTGTGTTTACATGTTTACTCATTTAGTAGTTTTAAAGGCATAAAGAAAACATATCTTGAGGAAAAAGAAAGAAAATCCCTTAGGACTTCTCTGGATTCCTGGGAAGTTTCCTTAACTTACAAGCAAATATTTTCATAGTTATCCTGGCACTGCAAAGGGTGAGGCACAGACAGTGGAAATGTCAGGCTTTCCAGAAGCTCCTTGGATTCCACTGCTGTTATCTAAGGCTTAGACAGTTTCCTGTCTCTCCTCATCAGATCGTTCTGTTCTCTGTCTCCAGACTACTGAGCAGAGGCTTAGTGTCACTGAGAGTGTAAAGCAGAAAAAGGACACCTGATGGGCCCAGTACCTCCTCCCCCCCACAAGGAGAACTCTCCCATCTGTCAGCACATGGTCAAGACCACATTACTTTTACAATGTAGAAATGAAGGTTTAAGAACTTGCTAGAATTCCATCACTAGCAAGTAGCTAAACACTGAAGCCCACTTTTGACCTCATAACTCTGTCCCGCCTGCTGAATCTACTCCTTACTCTGTGGAATCCATGCATCTTTTCTCTGTGTTACCATCCCTCCCTTCCTAAACCTGGGGAAAGGAAGAATAAAACATGAAAGACTCCTAGGAGACAAGTTTGGGTTCTACTTGTATTTGGTGCTGCAACCATGCTGTGCTTGTCTGTGCACCCCAGTTTCTGTCCTTGAAGATTGGGCAGAGGTCCTTCCCACCCAGGGTTGCTCACAGGCCTACTGATGAGCCATAACAGTGAGCTTTTGACTCTGGGAAAGGGTTTGCTCATACACATTACTTCTTCCATCTTTATGAGAGCCCAAGCAAGCAGCATGAACACCGAAGGCTCAAACCTTCAAGTCCTGAAGCAACGTGGGAGGGAGTGCGAGCCATAGATGCTTGGCTGAGGGTGGCCGTTTGGGGGAGGGAGAGACTGTGGGCATTAGGTGAAGGAAAGCTTAGGGGCCAGGGAGGCAGGGGGATTGGAAAGATTTGGAAGCAAGAAAAAAGGCAGACAAAGAAACTTTCAATCAAACTCAAAATCCTCACTGGCCGCCCAATGGTGCTTTTGTGGAGTGACATGAAAGGGTCTGGGGGCTTCTGGAAAGGCCCGTTGGGGAGGGCGTGACTGGCCTTGAGTAATGAGCCTGGCCCCTCGGCCCTCTGTCTCCCCTGACAGGCCTCCATGTCTTGAGCTGCAGGAACAATCCCCTGATTATCCCTGTGGTCCATGACCTCAGCCAGCCCTTCTACCACAGCCAGGCGGTACATGTGAGCTTCAGTTCGCCCCTGGTTGCCATCTCGGGGGTGGCCCTCCGCTCCTTCGACAACTTTGACCCCGTCACCCTGAGCAGCTGCCAGAGAGGAGAGACCTACAGCCCTTCTGAGCAGAGGTAAGCGACAAGGGCCTCCTCACCCTGGATCATTTGTAGTAAGTGGAGACACAGAGTCTGAACAGCCACTGCTGCTGCTGTTAAATTCTGTTTCTCCACTCTCCAGTCTCTGACTTCTGGTCAGCTTGTTCTTCAAGATGAAGAGGATCAAAAATCTTTGAATGTTGGAGTGAACTACTAGAGAATAGAAAGGAACCCTTCTTTCACCTGTCCTGCAGCTACTGAGTTGAAGACAGGAAACAAATTGAACTAGAAATAGCAATTTTCTGCACTAGGCTGTAGCATCCCTATCTGAACAAAGACAGGAGAGGTAAATCAATTCTTGGTTCTTAGTATTCTATTTTGATAGTGAAGATGTGGCAAGTGCCATGGTCCTCCTCAATTGTGGATGATGTGACTACCATTTGCTTCATTCTAGTTCACTCTGTATTTTAATGAGGGAAATCCCTATATCTTCTGTGAGTCTAGCCCTTTATATTTCCCCAGCAGTGGAGGAGTTTGTGTTTTAACTGCATCACATCTATTAGTGCCTTTGATCTCACATCTTTTACTGCTGTTCAGCTCTTGCCATGAAAAGACAATATTTATTTGGAAGAATGAGTTCGAGGAATACTCTAATCTTGGAGTTGAATCTCCACACGATTGATTCTCACATGCATGCCCTTACATGAGTCATTTTGCTTTTCAGAGTCTCAGTTTCCTATTTAGAAAGATGTAGTTGATGACATCTACCCATAGGGGTAATTGTGAGGCTCACGTACCAAACTGTAGGTGAAAATGACCTCGCAAGATACTCACTGTGCAGAGTTAATGTATCAGTGAGGCCTGCTAACAACACTCACCTTCCAACTACAACAGTGATGCCTCCATGTGCAGAAATCTATCTGTTGTTCTTAAAATTCAGAAGTAGAAGAAACCTCAGAGATGACCTAGGGCAAAGAATATATTCAAACTTAGTGTCGCCATCTAGATTCTGGGGCTCAGTAAAGGGAAATGGTCCAGTGTTGCTGAGATGCTCTCATGTTTGTTTAATAAGATCCAGAGGGAGAGTTGGTATGTTGGTGGGCTTTGCAGAATGAAGCCCTCTACATGGTAATTCAGCACTGTCCTGTACACCTGGGGGCAAAGAGAGAGAAAAGAACTATGATGGGAGGGGGATATTAGCCTTTCCCATGCCTCTGCTCCCACAGAGGACATAAAAGGTGGTTGCAAAATCCACATTGTTTTGCACCCACAGTCTCCAGCTTCTGTTGTGAAAAGTGTGTCGCAATCACTGAGATGGACGAGCTCCTTAACTATTTATTCTTCATTGTCATATTTCATCCTAACAGCACTTCTTTATTCCCAGCTCTCCAGTCTCTATAAAAATAAGGTAATTCTCTGGACCCAGGAAAACAATGTTGATGGAAAATGCAAATCCATCGGATTGTTGCCACAATGTGTTCCCATCTTCAGATGCTTCTCTGTACCATCCACAAGCTGACCAAAGCCAGCACTGGCTTCTCGGAGCTCTTAACTAATGACTCCTGTGTACTGAGCAAAACAGTGCTTAAGCTCTGAAACAAATCAGTCGATATATGATTACATAGTTCTTTAGTGGTAGAAAAACATGGATTTGAGACAAGACATTATCCTGGCTGCTTCATATGACTGTGGACTGGTCACCTCCACTTCTCTGAGCCTCCATTTCTCTTTAAGAGATGCTGATGAATAGTATATTTTTCTGTAGCTCCTTCCAGGTTTCATAGCCTGCAATTCCAACAGCTAGGAAATGTAAGAAGGTAGAAGAAGGAACAAACTTTTGTTAAGCCCAGGATAATTACATTACTTTATTTCTTCCTCATGCCTGGTTTGGGAGAGTATGAGTCAGAGGAACAGCCAGTGAGTCCATGAAGAATAGACAGTAAGAGGGACAACCCCTACCCAATGCATCAAGAACATGAATGGGAGAAGAGGAATCATTAGGACTTGTCATGTGTGAGCATTCCCCCTTCTCTGGTTAAGGGATGCAGAAGCAGTCAGGAAGGCCTTTGGCTGACTGGGCCCTCCATTTGGATCAGGCTTCATAGAGGGCTGAGGCTGCAAAGCTGCAGGATCCTTCTGAATACCCCAATGGGGAAAGGACAGCAGCTGTTCTTGGGGAGCCACAGAGACATTGACAAAAACAGGCAGGACTCTACAATCATGCAAATGTAGTAAAACAACCCAGAAGACAAGGAAAAGAAAGATAAGCAGCAATGTGTACAAAGGCCTGGGATATGGTCCTTTATTCTTGAAATTGGCGAATCAGAGAGATCAATGTTATTGCTTTTTACAGCAGAGACTCCAGTTTATTCTCCTTGGACAGTTGCACGTTAAGCTGTTTTACTGGCAGGAAAAGTCACTTTTCCCTTCCATCCCGATTCTTTACTCCCTCTAGCTCTTCCTCTTCTCCCTCCCATGTCCCTTTACAGAACACCCTAGGAGATCCAGTGAGCTACCTTGAGAGAAGCAGTGCTACTGCAAAACCAATATAGATGGTGTTTTCTGACCTAGATTCAAGGGTTCCTAGCACCTGGACACTATTGCATATGAATTCAAAGCCCACCTCCACCAATAGGATCAGATTTCAAGTTAGAGGTCCAGTTGTAGAATGCAGTTCTAATTAGGTGGAGAATGACACACAAATGGGAGATTACAGGTGTGAAGTGGAAGGCTAAAAGGCTTCTTTCAGGAGAAAGACTGTAGTCATAAGCGGCCCCAGTGTTTGTCTCTACATAGTTCATCTGCTTTTCCTTTTCTTTCCCCTCCTACACTACACACACACACACACACACACACACACACACACACCATCCATCCATCCATCCATCCATCCATCCATCCATCCACCCATACATCTATCTATGCACTCTGTGGTAATTATTAAAAATCAAATGCTGTATAATAAATTTCAGTAGGGTAGGTATTTAAATAGTTATTTCCACTTCATCCTTATCCCTTCCTCTCTCTTCCCCTTCCTTTTCTCCTACCTTTTTCTTATCTCTTTTATTTTCCTGTTCTCTTCTTCTACCTCCTTTTTTATATGCTAGCCCCTCTCTAGAGGTAATGCAGATACCAAACTTTTTAGAAGGCTCTTTGTTAGATACAAGCTCTTCATGTGGCTGTGATGAACTGTTTTCAGTTGAGGAGAAGAGAACATAGGATGGAGACAAATGTTCCTGGAGTGTACACTTCCAGGATCCTAAGTAACAGGAATTCATACATAGCATTTCAAGCTCAGGCTGAAGGTACTCATGGTCATGTGGAACTATCTAGTAAGTCAAACTGAAAACAGGCCTGTGTTTACAGGGAAACCAGACTAAAGGAAAGAGTCCATGCTTCTGTAGCCAGACACTGGTCAGGGGGCAGCCACCAGTTCACCTTGAGTTTCAATAGTCTGTCTGTATATCCTGTGGGACACTGAGCTTGCATCTCTTACTCATCACTGGTCTCTGTATTTTATCACCATGAAGTTCTGGGTTGTAAATGTTTTACTATCACTTTCCCTTGATCGCCATTTCTGGGCAGGACAAGGAGGTCTTATCAGGCTAACATTTTTTCTGTCTCTCACAAATGACCTAAAGGGGTGGTGCCTAGGTTACATTTCCTCTCATTTTCCAGTTTTGACCATATGGCCTTCTATCTTTTGTGGTGGTGGTGGTGACTGCCATTTAATGGCATAATTGTAGCTAAGCAGAAGGCCATAGGAGTTAAGAGAGGACTTAAAGAGCAGAGCGAGAAGAAAAATCCTTTCCAGCCCTTCAATACCAGGTTTGTCATCACTGGTAGGTGTCAGCCATTAGGGGTAAGATTTCCATTTCAGTTCTGTATGGCAGAGGAAGGGAAGCTAAAAGATTGCTGAGGTATCACAATGGTTCTGTACTCATGAAGATCTTGAACATGTAAATAAGTAGACACAAGGGCGTGTGGGCACATGTACACACATACACACACACGCACACGCTCATGCACACAGAAAGACAGAGGCGGAGACAAGAGACAGAGAGAGAGGGAGGGGGAGGGGGAGGGGAGGGAGAGGAGGAGGGGGGAGGGGGAGAGAGAGAGAGAGAGAGAGAGAGAGAGAGAGAGAGAGAGAGAGAGAGAGAGAGAGAGAATCTTTGCTTCAATGTGAGTACTTGGTACATTCACCTTTTCATCTACCCTCAACCAATATTCTTCTTTCATAAAACTTCCTTTCTTCTTTTTTATTCACCATCAGTCACTATTGCTGAATTCCTCTCTTTAAATCAGAGGCTTTTGTTTCATATTCCTTGGTTTTGTACTTTAGAAATGAATCAGAGCTGTATTAAGGCAGGGTATGTGAGACATTTAGCCATCATTCTTCTGCAGTGTATGTGTACAACTTTTTTCTAGATAGTGAGATAGATCTGGAAAGGATAAGGGCTCAGAGAACATAGTGGCTGATGTCTATTGGAACTCTGTCAAGGCTAACATGCCCTTGGGCAAGCAACTCCAAATGTGTATTCTCAAATGGGAGTAATATCATTACCTCAAGGAGTCCCTGTACAGTTACAGAGAAGGTGTTATAGTGAGACTCAGTGACTAATGCCTGGCATTTCATACTTCATTCCCTCTTCTCTCTCTCTCTCTCTCTCTCTCTCTCTCTCTCTCTCTCTCTCTCT